CTTCTGCCCCCTCGTCACGGCAAAACAAGCAACAGCAGCAGCAACAGGCCATAGATAAAGCGCGTGCCTCACGTGGGCGGCACGAGTCCCCGGCGGCGGCGGCGGTGGCTGTCTTACATATATAGTGTATAAGGAGGATATTATATTGTACGACGCGATATGCGTGTCGTTTTATTATCAATTTTTTTCTTATGTATTTCTATGCTTGCGCTTCAGTCATCACCCTCAACCTCGGCCACCTCCGCCACCTGTAATGAGAAAAGCGCCTTATACGTGGTGTCCCGGAGTCCGGGAGACGTGAGTCAATGTAAAAAAAAAAAAAAAATATATATCATTTTTATTTTTTCCTACACTCATAATAGGTGGATGATAACAATAAATAATCGATTCGGTAACGACGGTTTTTTGTGTTGTACCTATATTATAATGGTAATAATAATAATAATAATAATAAAGTGTATAGAGAAAACGGACGCGTGCGATCACGGGTCGACGTCGCGGACCCGTAAAAAAGATTAGTAGTGAAAAAAAAATGAAAATAATAATATACAAGTCCAACGCGTTTTCCCGGACCGTCCGCACCGTGTAATGCGCGCGCCTACTACAATATGATATTCTATTATTGGTTTTCGTTGTCTAGGCCAAACCCGCAGAGTTGTGTCACCCAAGAGTTGCCCCACGTTCGGTGGCAAAATCGTCAGACAAAAAAAAAAATGATTTCGGATTTCCCAGTAGTAACTACCAACTGACTAATCTTACAAAATATATCACCGCAGTGCGCTGCAAAAAAACGCTAATAGCGCCGCGACCCGCCTACGCTTTATTTTGTCATTCGACTCGGGTTCAGAGTTCACGCCACCACATGATCGTTATCGAGAACATGTTAACATTATTGTTATGACTGTCCACGGTTTTCGGTTATTTCGTGTGTAATAATAAACATTGTTTGACCGTTGAAGACGCGATAACGTTGCCGACCGTTTTCAGTGTTTTCCCGTCGGTCCGCAATAATAAAATATATATTTTGGATACCGTATAAAAAACATTATTAGCAATGAAAACCAATTTAAAATTTTATTGAGACCCAGAGAGACGGTAAATCGAAAAAAAAATACATCCACTTGGGTCCTGCGACAAGCAACGGTCAATATAATAGCGGGCTGTGTTTAAAAATATGAGTTGCTGTTGTATTGAGACGGAAAGACAAAGAATACTAGAACAAAGAACGATAGAAACAAATCTAGTCAAGAGGACGTTGTTACACTCATCAAGGATATATTATAATACAGTAGTATTATAATGAATAGTCGTTTTAAAAAAAAAAATGCGATTTCAAATGTTAAATATTAGGTTTATCGAAAAAAGGATGTTGACATTTGTCGTCGTTTTATTCGTTAAGTATAGGCAGAATCTTGTATAAAACGCGTTCCGCGTTTTGGGCAATTAACGATTAACGGTTTTTTTTTTTTTTTGGCTACGCTTGAGCCCCCCCCTCCGAAAGCCGCCGAGCGGCTTGCCGTCGCGAGGGATTTCCCTTATTTGTAGATTTTATCGAGGGGGGGACGGGTACGCGGGGGACGTTTATGTCCCTAAGCCCCCAGAGACACGGCGACCGAAGACGTCTCCGGCCGCGGCCGTTCGTGCGCCGTCGGCGGCGGCGGCGGCGACCCATGTGTGCAGTGTGTGCGCGCGTTGACCGTCACGGGTGCCGCGGCGGCGGACGTCACGAGTAGCGCGCCAGGTATAGGTCGGCGACGTGATCGGGGGTCCCCCGGCGGCCGGTTTCTGGCTGCCAGTGGCTGTCCGGACGTTGGTCGTGTGTCGTCTTGCCGAGTGTGTGTACGCACGTCCCGAACATCGACCCATCACGTGTCTTGACGATCGCGAGTTTTTCCGCTACAACAACAACAGCAATAATAAAAATATTAATAGATTTTGTTTTCAATAAAAATATTTCATCCATAAGAATTTGTGGTATTTTTTTTTTAAGTGCGCGTTACCGTTTATTATTATCGAAAAAATTGATTTTTTTTTTTTTTGCTCTCAATATAACAACATGAACGAACCGAACCGTCTACTCGGCGTCGGCCGACCGTCTGGGAAATGGCGAATTTTCCACGTTGCCGGCAAACGATTGTACTGATTGATACCTACTGTTATTATTAATATCAATTTTTTTTTTTTTAATACCGCCGACCGGTGTGCGCGAAGCGCAGTGAAGCCATCATCGTTTTGTCGACAGGTCAGAATTAATTTTTATTTATACATATACAAAATAAACAACCACGTTGTAGTCTCGTATCGCTCGATTCAACGTTGCAATATATTAGTGTAATAATTGTAATCCAAACCACGGGGAAACGTTTAAAAAACCGATAGCGTTTGGCCGACTTGTCCTGCACATAATAACGCACGTCCGTATCTCATAATTATTATTATTATTACTTATAGAATCCCAGTGTGCGCTCGTGTGTTAAGTCTCGCGTGGTGGCGATAAATCAACCGAGAGTGGCAAGCCGGCCATTACGAATGGATTTGGTGTATTGTTTGATTTTTAACCAACCCGTTTGCGGACTATAGGAATACATTTTGGTCGTCTCGGAATCTAAAATTCGGTATTGCGCTCGAAAGAATGCGACCGTATTATTATTGTTGTTATCATTATACTTGTTAAGTGTCGTTTAAATGACGTTTTAATTGCGCCGCACGCGCAGGTAAACCCGACCGAGTGAAATATTTTTTTTTTTTTTAAATATATAACAATAATATTATTATTATCATTATCGCGGTTATACGATGCATCACCACCAGACAACACATCCGGTTGCGACGACGAACGTTGGCTACGTCAGCAGGGAATTTTTTTTTTGTTATTGTAAAAAAAAATCAACAGAAAATAATAATTAAAAAACTCCCGCGTACCGCCGACCGAATTTCGCAAACCGACGAAATAGTATACTATTCCGGATATCGTTGTGCGTTTCAACAAGTGTTAAAAAAAAAAAAATTGTATACTAATAATACAAATTGTATGATAATTTCAAACAATGGAAGCCGTCCCGTTGTCGTCAATGAATTTCGATCCGTCCGCCCAGTCGTCGGTTTTTTTTTTTTTTAATTTTATTTTCACTACTCGATAATCGCACGAGCGGTCTGGGAATAAATTATTCGGCCTGGTTTAATTTAACTTTTGTTTTGGGGATTCGTAGTAAAAATGCGCCTAATCAACATTACACAACTATTCTAATTTACAACGAGACAAACATTTTCGAAAATAACGTGAAAACTCCAAAATATTGCCCAGAAAAGCCCCAAAAAACGGTTATGATTTTCGTTGAAAACTTTAAAACAACGTCTACCAAACGACCCTTGGAATTTGCGTAGTCGACGTCAGCCCGTATGTAATTTGGCAAAGAAAAATATATAATGTATTAGATTTTGTAGACAAATATTATTATTTTTTTAAATACACTAAAGTCCTAACGAAATTGGCCGGCATCGTAGTTAATATACTCATACAACATATTATGATATTATTATGGATAATATGTTTGTGAATCGCGTGAAACGGGGTAGGCGGTAGACCATTGTAGGGTTCAAATGTCAAATGTTTGTGTTTTTCAAGGATAAAACAAATGAATAATACCGACGGCACCCTCGAGGATGTACCGCTGACCTTTGTACAGATTTTGTGGGTGAATTAATTAAAAAAAATAAGACTAAAACAAAAAGCAACGTCCGGCCATTGTCGTTGTCGACAAAACGGCGCATAATTATCGGTTATTATGCTAGGTATATCGGTCGTCGGTGGACTATTATAATATTTTGTTTTTTAAAAGTCCGATTAACGAGCTGGGTAATCAATTTGCGACGACAAAGCCCCGTGCGATCGACTCCTTTAATAGTTGATATCGTTTCGGTATATTATTATTATAATAATAAAATTAATGTTATGCTATTATAATATTTGCGATAACGTTCAACAAGTGCATACCAATAGGGGACAGAGCGCGTGCGGACGTTTATAAATTAAATATGTAATATATAAATAAGTGCATTCGAAACAATAAAAGGTTTCGTCATCGCCAATTTAATACTAATAGTAATAGTAACAACAACGTATCAACGCGTGGCGTACCTGTTGTACTATTTATGATGGTCCTTTAAAAAAAAAAAAAAAAAATGTTAATTTTATATGTTTGTTTATTTGTTTATGTTTCAAACGTACATATCACAATTGAATTGGGCGCGCGTGCTTTAAGTACAATAATAATAATAAATATATATAAATAATTACTGTCCTTATGTTGTTGTTTTCAATTGTCCGTATAAAGCAAAAACAACAATACGTTCTTATGTTTTAGGTATTTGATAATGTAGGTCATTTTTCAAAGAAAAATAATCTAAAAACAAAAGAGTAAAACATTAAACACATAACTAAACGCTAGTTATATAAAGAAATAGGTAATTATAAAATAACAGGGAAAACATTATTTTAGATCAGAGTAAGTTTAGAAAAATAACGATTTAAATCGAGCCAATCCAAGTCAAAACATTCTTGTTCACACCGACATTGGTCTCGTTAACTTCAAATTACACTATTCACACGTATTTCACAACACTTAATTGAAATTTGGCGCCACTGCAAGTGTAACAGTAGCCTATTATACTTTTGAGCTTGCTCATCGCGCATTGCTTGCGCTTTTCTACAAAGAAATGGGCCGTATCAACGGTTCGGACGAATCTTTGGGACGGTGTACCACCCGTTGACAACCGTTATAATTATCAAATTTTTTTTTTAGCGATACACCATTTTCGGGTTTTTTTTTTTTTTACACTTTGTCGTTTTGAGAGCATCCGAGGAAGTGTGGGCAGTGCGGTGTGACGGTATTCAGAGGCCTATATATTATTATAACCGTGTGTTGCCCAAACCAGTCCTATAGCCGACACGGGCAAGAGGTTGTCACGGTCCGTTGCGGGGAGAGCGGCGGCCGCGTGTCGCGCCAGTCCGGTGGGTCGGCGTTCGCACGAGCCTTCCGACCAATAGCGAGGCGAGTTCCGGTCGTTTCTTTTTCGTTTCAGCACGTGATCGGAGCCGGTCCAGGGGGGATGTGACCCGAAAAGAATAGAGCGCGAGAACCCGTCGGGGGAAGAAGGAACACAAGAGACTTTTGTGCACGAACACTACTCTGGTGTTGCTCAACTTGGCTGTTGCGAAATCTCTCTCTCTCGTGGCCCCTCTCGAGCAGCAGCAGCAGCAGCACAGGACAACCGCCTATATAGCTCGTGCTCCCGACCGACGGCCGATGATCCACGTCCGTTGCCGTGCGCGTACCGTTACAGGAGATTAACGTATCTGTATTTATTCGTATTTTGTCACCTGTACCAGGCGACCATTACTCGTCCGGAGTACAACCACTGCCTCGGCAGCCTCGACCGCGCGTTCATCAATCTATGCGGGGTCCGTCACACGATATTATTACAGCGGTATAAAATAAAACGTTACACCACCACGTATCGGCCAATCGTTATTGCTCTGGAAAATCATAATAATTATACAAACGCGCCGACGGGGGCGTACGTTTATAGTGGTAGTACTGCATAATATAGGAGTTGTTGTACATATTATTATACACCGTCGGTAATGTAGCCCACGCGTCGTCCGTTTTAGGAGGACGCATGCGACCCACGTCCCCACAGTCTCCCACTTGCCACCCACTTGCCACCCACGTGTTAATAAAAAAAAAATAACGCGCCAATATCGCTCGTCGCCCCTCCGCAAGCGTTAATCTCAAGGAGAAACGGGCGAAACGCTTATCGTAAAAGTACAAGTTCGACTGTACTCCGCGCGTAATAGTTTTCAGCAACAGAACAACAACAACAACCACGCCAACATCAAATCTTCTTATCGGGCGCACGTGCAACGAAGTTCGGACGCGTCGTAAACTCGGTCAAGTCCCTTTTGGTCGTACGCAATACTATAACCACCCGCCGCGGTGTAGTTCTGCTCTGCGGTTATTTTTCTTTTTTTTTTTGCCGCTAAAATCCGCGCTTTTATTATGGTTTTCTAAAGGTCCTAGAGAGACATAATAAATTATTGTTATACTCTCAAACTTTAGTAGACACACACACACGGTCGTCCCCGTGCGGTTTATACTTGCCCGAGCACTCTAATACAATTACATTGCCGTCGAGTGTGTATATTACACTCGCACACACGTACACCCACGTTGGGGTAGGTGGCACGCGTCGGCACTAGCATGTACATAATACTTAATATATATATATATACATAAACGCGCGTTCGTTCGAAGCGCACTTGACCTGTTGAGCGCAATGCGCGCTCTCGACGACCCCTCGAAGACGGGCGGCCTCGCGCGCCACCCAGCAACAGGTAGTAGACGCCGTGTTACGACGAGCGTAACGTAACGTACAGCGTCCCGCTCGCGTAGTAGTGTACGCTGGCCGTATCGGTTTATCGATTACCCGACCGGCACGTGACACCACACGCCAAAGTCAAGGACACGCACTACGCTATCCTCGCGCGCCGCTCGGCCGTTTACCTACCCCTGTCCCACGCACCCTCGCACAACAAAGATGGTCGGGGCGGGCGCACTCGTCGGCGTCGCGGCCGTGGCGGGTTCTCAGTGAATTTCCGGCGTCCGACAGTGACCGACCGCGGCCGCAGCATCCGATCATTTGTTGATCACTGTGTGACTCTGTGTCTTGTCCGACATATTGGCTTGAAATTTAGTGAGTACAACTTTTACCTGTATAAACCGACCTTGGTGCATGTGCGCGCTCGGCGGATCTTCGATGAATACTTTAAGTAAAAGTTCTTCCAAATTCTTCAAAACTCCTTAAGACAAATATATATATATGTATACAATTTACTTATCTGTTATTTCTACAAGCAACTTTGTAAACAGTACTCCAATTTCACCGATATGAGGTTTTCCTCAGTGTTGAGTCGGGCCATTATGCTAATTCTAATTTATTGTGTACTTATTTTCAAAATGTTATTCTCTGATAGCTAATACATTTATTATTATTCATAATTTTAATATATGTATATCGACAGTCAAACTGGCATAATGTTTCGGACTGAAAGGATTTTAAACGTTAACTTATTAAAAGCGAGACGTTAAGAAAACTATACAGTTGACCAATACCGAATTATTTAATCATTGTAAAATAGCGCCGTGTCGATTTCTGGACTGAAAAATAAATAAATTACAAAAATCTTCCGTCGTTCTAATAATCACACGGTCGGCTTGTACACGGAAACCGGTCATCGGTGTCGTTAACGAGCCGCTCCCATATGTAAGATATTATACTTGCTCACCGATCTGTTGTTGGAAAAAAAAAAAGAACAAACGACCCGCACTCCTCTAAGCCGATTTATTATATTTTCTAATATCGAATACCGAAAAGGGAGTTTTCGGCTTAATCAAAATAATATAACAATAATAATATATAAGAATCGTCGTTTACCGGTTGACGGCGACGGCGATGGTATCATCGGTGTGATCGACTGCGTTGGGCATAGATCTGCCCCGGGACGGTATCCGATTTCCTCGTTTAAAAAAGCGGTCGTGGTATTATGTTAAAAAAATGTTTTTCGTATAAGAAACGAGTCGATATCGCGCGCGCTCGTTCGTCGTGTGCATTAAACAAAATAATTATAATGATGCTGCCCATTGTTATCGGCCATGTAAAACAACGGCAACGTTAAGCTGTTACCGTCGAACCGTAGAAATCTCATTTTCCCCGTGGTCGAAGACGAACCGCACCTGTTTCTTGCGCGCACAGTTATCGCAAGGGCGCATCTCGGTAGGTTTTCCGACTCTTGGCGGTTTTTTACCATTATTAATTGCACATCACCCTCCCGTAGTCGTCAAATCCCGGTCAGACCGGACATGTTAAAAAAAAAAATACTTCTTTAATGTCATTTTTAAGACATTCCGTGCGGCGTGGTTAGGATGGATTAACTTGGGCTGTTCACGCACAACACCTTGCCGACATAATTGGTGTTTGTAATTATTACATATTATTTTTATTGATTTGCGCCGTTTGATTTTTCGCAGACGATCCAATTTGCGGTGAATGAACGTTGTTCCAATTAGCTGCACGAATGACTATGGCTGAGGTGGAAATGGAGCCGCCGACAGACAGGGCGAGCCGGTCGACGACGATGGTAACCAATGCGCCGTCGTCGATGTACAAGACCAACAACAACCATCCGTTGGCGACCAACAACAATAACAACAACAACAACAACAATACCCGCCCCGTGGTGGTGAAACACAAAAAAAGAAAACGGCTGAACCAAGTGTTGGACCGGTTGACGGTGCAGGCGACGTCTCCGACCAACAACAACAACAACAGCATCAACAACAACAAAGAAGATCTGATCAAAAGAGAATACGACAGCGACGAATCGCTGCGGCGGGCCAAAGAGTACGAGGAACCGTTCAGTCCGGGCTCGTCGTCTAACCGATCGCCCCGAAGCTCCAACACCGACTCTCCTTTCAGTCCGAACAGGACGAAAGACGTCGACGAAACGCCCGTGCCCGCGGTGCTGCCCGTACCCTTCCTCCCGCCGCCTCCGTTGCACCACTACCTAAAGTACCCAAAATGCAACTGCCTGTACTGCAGCAACCCCTCACCGACGGGAGACGCCGGTCAGACCGTGCCTCCCGTCACGCCGATGTCGCCGGCGTCCCTACTTGCCGGGTCTATGTACACTTTCGAGCACTATCTGCACACCAAGTACCTGCCCGACATATTCCGTCGGCGGAGCCATTCCGATTCCGATGTTCCTATGTGGTTCGAAGCGACCAAAGCTGAACAGTGCGCCGAACACGAGACGACGTCGACGTCGACCGCCAACGCTACCACCACCCCGGCCGCCTCGACGACGGCCACCGGCAAGACGGGCGGCAAGCGACCGTTTTCGGTGCCGCACCCGCTCGACAATCCGCGGAAGAAAACCACCAGATCGCCGCCTGCGCTTCCACCCCAGGATTCGCCGCTTGACCTGTCCATGAAAAACCTAAGTCCTCCACCGCCGCCCATTGTTCCTGAACCCGTCGTATCCGTGGGTTACTACCGCCCCGGCAGCACCGGTTATTCGGTGCCCGTTGTCAAGGGCGACGTGGCGTCTTGCACCACCAAGGCGTCGGTGGCCGTCCGGTACAACCTGGAGGTGTCGCCCGTCGTCGAGGAGATGCCCGTCGGCTCGGACGTGGCGTACGTGTGTCCGGTGTGCGGTCAGATGTTCAGCTTGCATGACAGGCTGGCCAAACACATGGCGTCCCGGCACAAAGATAAGACAGCGGCGGCGGCCGCCGCTGCCGAAAACGGCGGTGACGGGTCTGCCGGCACCACCAAAGCGTACCCGTGTGAGGTGTGCAACCGGTCGTTCGCGCGCAGCGACATGCTCACCAGGCACATGCGGCTGCACACGGGCGTCAAACCGTACACTTGCAGGGTGTGCGGCCAAGTGTTCTCGCGGTCCGATCACCTAAGCACCCACCAGCGAACGCACACTGGCGAGAAACCCTACAAGTGTCCACAGTGTCCGTACGCCGCTTGCCGCCGCGATATGATCACCCGACACATGCGCACACACTCACGGTACGAGATGGTGTCGTCTTCGGACACCGCCGCCGGTGGTTTCTCACTTGGCGACTCGCCCGTCCCGTCGCCGTTGTCCTACACCAAACCCTTGTCGCCCACCGACAAGTATTCTCCGCCACTGGAAGTGCTGTGCAAGTCTGAACCACACGAATAACCGTCGTGTCTCAAAGCAGCTTCTCAACCAAAGATTGTATAATTTATTTATTTTTCGCTACATATAAATCATATTTAAGTATGTATAACACGATATATATTTATATATATAATAATAATAATAATGTTTTTATAAAAAAAAAAGAATTAAATAATGTCTCAGATGAAAATGAGCTGCGAGCTCGACGACAATCTCTCTCTAATTTTCTATCTCAAATCTCTTTATATTAACCGATTTTAAATTAAACAGGGTGTGTGATAAACAATGTGCCATCCTATCTCTACATGACGATGTTATGTAATATTGTAATATTTTTTCTATTATATATAAATACCGCGTTGGTTTTCTTTTAAAAACAACACTATTTTACGGTTTCTAATATTATGCATGGCGTTATTTTTTTATTATCAAAGATATATATATCTATTATAAAATCGATATAATTATAATACATGTATTTATGTATGTATGTGCGTTTCGACTGGTTTGCTCAAATTCAAAATAAAATCTAAACTAGTCGACGAAAAAAAAAATTGTTTGCATGAAACTTATGTCGTCTTGTCCCGTCGTTTGTCTATAGTAATAAATAATAATAATTTAATAATAATAGTAATAACATTATTATTCTGTACGCTTTTCACAATAGTTAATTTCACCGCCTTATGTCTGTGTCGTTCTCTCCTCTGCCTAGGACCAGCAAACGCTCTCTCTATCTCTCTACATGTCTTTCTTTTTTTTTTTATACTTTTTTAATTACAGCGTGCATACACACATACATATATATTTATAAACTATATACACATACATATCTTAATAGTGTAAAACGAGATGTATAGGTAAGCACAACAAAAAACTTCTTTTTTTTATACGGTTGTTATTCATTTGCTATTGTAATAACACAAATAAAAACCGAAGGCGATATTTTTTTAATAATAATTATGTTTTTTTTTTCTTAATAAAAAATGTTGAAATTTAAACGAATGTAGAAGTAATTGAAATGTGATAAAAAAAAAAATACCGTTTTGACATTGTTATACGAATATATGTATATTATATATTAAACAGGGACGTTAATGTTTTTGTTTTTTATAAATACCAATATACATTATAATATATATTGTAGTTAACGTTAGGGCCTATCGAATAGTTGTCAACGGATCGAGAAGAAAACCTTAATATACCATACACTACTATGTATAATATAAATACTATTAATTAATTATTTTTATCCGCACCCTAATGTGTTTTCCTCGAACAAAAAAAAATGATGTATTACCTATTAAAAATAATGTTTTTCTTGAGGCACTGTAATTTTATTTGTGTATTATTATTATTGTTATTATATACAATATAATAGTATGTACTACTTGTAATTATTAATTAAGTGGACGCGTTGAACTTAAAAAATGTAATCGCTTTGCTCAAAAAAACCCACGTCAAAGGTGAGAACTAAAAAAATAGTTGAATAAATAAAATGTAAATGTTTAAATAATTTGTTGTTTATTTTATTTTTTTAATATTAACTTTTTTGCATATATTTTGTAACATAAAAAATATTCAACATGATAACGTCGATGATGACCGTGTATTTGCTATATATTTGTTTACTTGAGATTTACTCGATAAAAAGATTTAAATAAAAGGAAATCTATTATCTAAATATATATCTTTATAATAAAAATAACATCCATTGCGTTATTATTTGTACTCATCGTCCATATTATATTATCTATATTGCAAAACCCCAGAGACCCATGTACCCGGTAAAATGTATTATCATTACATTAATAAAAATACATTTGCTCTGAACGGTGTTTGTCGGTGGCAGGTGATGTAAAAAAAAAACTAATTTGGCGGATCAATTAAGATAAAGGAAAAAAAAAACAATAACAACAATATTACTATCATCATTATAATAATAATGTATATACACGTTTACAGCGTTTGCGTGTGCAATGTATGTATATAAATAATATACATAGATAATATAGAATAATGCTGAATTATGTATATATGTATAAATAATTATTATCATCCGCAGCAGCCGCCGCTTCCATTTACTATATATTAATATAATATTTTTATATCGGTTTCCGGTCTGTTCGATCGATTCACGCGATTTTATGGTAAAGAAAAATATGTCTGTTTACTATATATCTATAATATTAATGCACATATGATGTTGATATGTGTGTGTGCTGTTGAAGAAAAAAAAATGTAATATAATATTATGATAATGTCGATTAATAATCGATAGGACTGCTTGTTCAGGCCTGGTGCAACCGACGTGTGCACATTTGATGTTTTATCGACCTACTCGGGCCAAAAAAAAAAAAAAAATTAACATTATAATATTATTATATCTAATAGGATGGGTTATTTTTTTTGTGTATTATTACTGTTTTTATAGCCTCGTAGGCACTTAATTATTGGAATAATATTATTTGCCGTCATCGGCGTGCGCACGCCGATTACAAAATGTATATTAACGTTAATTACTATCTCGTGTAAAAATCTGTTTTTTCACAGCCCGTTTGTGTGCGAGAGAGACGTCGTGTTTGAGAACGAGACCACCTCGGTATATTAGATATTCTACCGGTGCGGCAGCCGGAGGCCAAAACGGAAGGAGCCGGCTCCTATAGATTGAGTTTAACGACGATGACGTGATGGAAAACCGACGGTGTACAGATTAAAATATATAACAACCGCCGGTAAAGGATATATCATATAATGATAAGTGGGGTTAATTTTGAAAACTCAGAAATAGAGACAAGCCCTAAAGAAAAAAATACATTGTAAAATATGCAATTTTTCCGTTTTATTTAATTGTTCGATTAAATCAAAAATAACACTAGGTTAATTTGCCCGAATCCGTTTGATCCTTACCAATAGTATTCGTATTTCGTACCTATCTGTCTGTCGGTAACGTTTTGTTTATGAGTTTCTCCTTTGTACAATACTACTATGGTTTTATACAGCGTGCGTATGGACCGTCGCTCATCCGGCGTTGCGGTAGATTGTACTTGTGGTGTCTAATTTTAATTATTCAAAATATATTGCAAACACTGCGTTTTTTTTTTTTTTTTTGATCTCGCGGCGACTGTCGGCGTGACTCATCGTCAATCGGTTGCAGTCGTACCACGTGCGCTCAGATAACGCGACAAGTAAATACAATGATACTATACCAGACGGCTTTTGGTATGAGTCAGTCGACCGGCGACGCTATTTCGGAATCGGACCGGAGAGGCTGCATACAAAATGTTTTGTGTGACAAAAAAAAAAAAAAAACTCAATCGGAGGCATTGCTTAAAACCCAAGTGCTGTGGTGGCGGTCGCTAGTGGTAGAAAACGATTTTTTTTAAATTTTTTATTCAAACACAAATCACGTTTTGTTCGAATTCGAGGAAAAAACACTTATTAAAACTAGCGACAACTCCGGGTCGCTCGGCCGCGGTATTATCGACACCGCCGTCGCCCTTTAAGTATACATATGCATAAATATCCGATATACGTTGTGTATATAAAAAAAAAAAAAATTCTCCTTATCTATTATAATATTACTTGTGTGTATATAATATAATGTATGTACATACTGGTTTTTTTTTCTCCGTTTGCATATAGAGGTACGCCGTGGCCCGTTGTAATTTATAAGCGTGAATTATAATAATATACTATATGCGTGTGTGTAAACGTTAAGAACGTTGCCCTTTGGTGAAAAAAAATAAAAATAAATCAATCTTCAAACATAGTGTCTTCGCGGAGGCTACCAAATATCGCGTTGTAAAACTAATTTTACAATAGTAAATAAAATAGCGAGAACACGGTTTTTCTTTCTTTTTACAATCTGCGCCCATCCTGACCATAGGTGTCCAGTGTCCTATTTGCATACACACATCGCAGTAGACGTGATGAGTTGTCACGGTCAGAGTGATAGGAACTAGGAGCATCACGCGCCTTTCCCATAGAACCGACGGTCATTGTGAGTGTATAAGTACAGTCGTCGGTCAACCCTTTTGATCACTACCGGCGTTTATCATGCACGACACGACGGCTTCTGTCATCCGCTAACTTTAGTTGTCTGACGTCGACACAGAACACTGTAAAATGTGAATTCCCAAGGGCGGAAGAGGGTGAGGCGCATGTAACAAGTACAGCATGTTTTTGACCAAGTTAAAGTGGTCTGATACGAAAGGAACGCGAAAAGTGAGTACAAGCCCGTTGGCGCAAACGGGGAAGGAAGACTTGCAGGAAGTATAGATAAGGAAGTTATTCGCGATGGACTATTAGCGGTTCGATCACTGTTTTTGCCTCTTATCACAAAGGCGGCCTTATCTGCGCTGTATACACGATAAGGACGAACCTTGGATGTTAGGAGCGTGTGAGTGAAATTATGAAAAACAATATGCACATTGTGATGTTTCACGTTGTCCTCGCCATTTGGGGTCATGTTAAAAAAAAAATATAAAACTAAAAAGATTGACGGCCGACGTTGACAGACAGGTTGAAGCGCGGGACGGAGACGGTACAGCGTATCGACCTTTCTAATTATTTTAGATAAGGAAAAAAAAAACAAAGATACAATATCTTTGTTTTTTTTTCAATGGGTTAATAAAGCCAATTTTGTTCATACATTAAATCAATACACCATTTATTTTTTATATTATACAAAATATGTGTGTGCGTCTTATAATTTCAATATCAACGCATTTACTGATAACTCGATTTTTTAACAGTATTTCTAAACAAGATTTCTAAAAAAAAAAAATGTATATCGTATTGTGATAACTAGACGGATAGCGATGAACGCGTATAAATTATTTTTATAGTGTTTTCGCGTGGCATGTACAACTTCAGGTAGGTCATGCAAACAGCAGATAAATGCAGCAGTGTCATTTCCGAATAAGACGCTTGTAAATTATATATTTATATACCATAACGTCACGTCCTACGCTGATTGAATTCATATATATATATATATTAATTGAATAATATTATCATCTGCATAAACTGCATATTATTTTAATGAAAGCAAATAAAAAAAATAAAAACTACAAGTATATGAAACAAACTATTTGACGACATGCTCATATATACATATATATATACATATTTTTTTCACCGTTTGTCGAGTACTGAATATTATACTATTTTACAATGTCTTAAGCCAACGTGTACGGTACGCTAATTTGCATGTAAACATTTTCACTTTACTATAGTTGATCTACGATAAAAAAAAAAATGTGTATTTGTATTTAACGAGGTTATTACAAGCACCTAATATGTTATACAAGAGGAATACGTGTAAATTAAAATACTATCGTATGTATATATTATTCATGTATTTCGTGCGTTAATTGTTATGATGTTTGACAAGATAACACAGTCAAATAATTAAAAACACATAGTGCATACAATGTTACGGCGTTGTTTATCGTTATTTTTTTTCCTAATGC